TAGATGTGGCACTTCAGGATATGGTTTAGTAGGCATGGTGTTTTTGGGTGGATGGTTGGACTTGATGATCTCAGAGGTCTTTTCCAACCTATGATTCTATGAAAAAAAATTTTAAGTAAGTCAGACTTGCACTGCATGTTTTAGGATTTAAGTTGAAATAAACTTTTTACACATGTAATGACCAAAAGACACCTTCACTCCTCACTCCTAATTTAAATTAAAATACATGTGAATTTTCTCAATTGCATAGTATTTCCTGTTTAAATTTAAAAACATTGTGCTAGCAAACAACTGCACTTCCTCATGCAGTTATGTGACTAGCTGACTAGAAATCTGACTTGCTCTAAAATATCACTTGACAAAAAAATCTTGCCGTTTTTTTCTTTGGGAGAAAACAACTACAGAAATTTCTCCTGTTTGTTCTCATTACACCTTCCTGTTGTTATTCTGGCCAGTTTTGGTTTTATTTTCCTTCCAAAGGGTCCCTTTCTTTTCCTCCATCTCCTTGATTTTCCTGGTTCCTACTCAAGTCATCCCTCAGCTTTTCCTCTTGTTCTTTCCAAATCTCATGTTGCATATCTCACATACATCCAAAATCCTGTACCTACCTTATTCTTTCTCTGCTCAGTGACCATTGAATTCCTGCCTGACTACTGCTCTCTCCTGCACCAAAATCAAGCACTCCATCTTCAAAGATCTGCCTGTGCCAACAACTTATCTTTATCTTTATTGGTTTAACAATTCAGTAGGCCCAGTAACTCCAAGAAATAACTTTCATATTTTCTTTAGTTACTTCGCTCCAGACAAATCCTCCTAGAATCTGTATAATATTTCAGAGAACTATTCAATTTTATCAACTTCATTAGCCTTCTAGGGTTGCCTTTTACTGTCACCATAGAAAACTTCCTTCTCTAATGATAAGGTAGGACAAATGAAATGAGATAAAGCAATCTCCATATATGTTTTAAATTTACTGTCAAGGAAGGTTTGGTTGGGGTTTTTTCAGGGTTTTTTTTTTTAATCAGTGCAAAGCTTCATAGATTTTTTTTTTAAATTATTCTCCCAATTCCAATACTAATAAAAAGAAAACTGACAGACCAGAACAATAATCCTCAAGGCATTCTGAGTTTTCCCATTTCTTCATACTTACTAAACAAAGCAAATAAAAAGAATCCTAAGATCTAAGACTTAAAACATCTCATTTTTGTGAGGCTCCCATGTCTTCTCCTGCTTTAAAGCACTAATCAGTCTAATCTAATACAACACATTATACAATGCAACAGAATGAAGAGTGAAAAATTACAAGAGCCTGTGATATTTTTATGAAAATAAAAATGAGTCAGTTTTTAATAAGGAGATGCATTTACCAAAAACATTCATCCTTACTTTAGCATTCATCAATAATGGTTAAGTGTGTTTAAAACAACTGGAGGTTTTAATTACAACAATTTTTTCCCACGGTGAATAAAGTTGTGTCTGTGGTCTCCTTTGACTACTTCCTCTAGAAACTTCTAGAAGAGACAAATATATCTGCTTTCCTCAATTACTAAAATACTGCCTTTTACTTATAAACAAACATGAAGATTCTTCCAAAAATCCAAGACTTTGTTCAACTTGTTCTCATAAGCCCAACTAAGCAGCCAAATTAGAGGACATCTTTTGCTTTTTCTGAATCAGGTGAATAAGAGGGAAAGCTGGGAGGGTAAATCACTGTATTATGTGTTAGGTTTTCAACCAGAAATAGCTCAGGGCAGTACTAGTGGTTCTTCTAGCTATCCTGACCATTTGTGAACACAATGCATAATGGCAAGATTGGAAAGGAGAAAATAAGAAATAAAGATATGAAGGAAAAATTGAGCTGCTAAAGCGTTTATAACTCTGCTTTGTGCTCATCTGATTTCAGTTAGATCCAGCTGCTGGTTGTGTCTCAAGTTTTATTTATACAGGCCTAAGCCTGCCTCAATCACAGCAGTCTCCCAAAACTGCCTGAGGGGTATATTTCTCCCCTGAATCTTTTCAACACTGAATTACATATACCTGTCTAGACATGCCTTGGAAACTAAGGCTTGAGTAGCAATTATTCACTTCCATTCTCCTATTTCTCCTTCATGCTGTTTGTGCCAGGGAACAAGAATATAGGCTTTCAGGTATCCTTTACATCACACCAACTCCTTGGTCCCACAGGCAAATCTAAATTGTGATGAAGATGTGGACCATGATTCTCCAGAACACTTCTCAGGAACAAATATTAGTGATACCAATTTGGGTGGTGGTGATGGAACAGGAATCAAATTAAAGAAAAAAAACTACAAGAGAATAGAAAGATGTAAAGACTGATGGTGAATATACAACCTGATAGTTTTACATGTAAACCCATGTATTTGGTTAAGAAGATGGTACAGAAGCCAGTTGTTGGAAATCTCTGACAAAAGCTCAGATGCCGTGGATGGAAAGGGAGAGCCAAGAATATTTAAAATGGGCAGACAACTTCTGAGACACAGTGATGAGAGAAGGTAAGGCAGAGCGTGTGCTCTCCTCAAACAGCACAAGAATAATGCCTTTTATATTTAGCTCTCTGAACCATGCACCACTCACAAGCATGACTGTTGCAATAAAGTTGGTTACTTCAATTTATTAACAGAGAAAACCTTTTTTAATCCTGATATCTAAAGCACCAGAAAATGCCATCAGTTTTATTGCTCTGTAAGCATCATAATTCCTTCTGATAAATATCACTATTACATTACAGCAGTATTGTAAAAAGAGAAGTTTTGTATTATAGAGAGGCAGGAAGTCATTTGGACCTTGCTCAACTCTCCCACAAAATTTTGTGGTAGATTTAAAACCAAATTTATCTGAATAACCTAAGCTCAATACTGAGGGTATATGACTGATATTGAAATGGGTTGTCTATTAACTCTATTTATGGGCAAACAAGTTATGTGAAAATGATCTGTTAGGCTTGGCTTCAGAAGGGGGGCCACGAAGGACTGTGAAAGACACATTTCAATTCCTCCTGAACTGTGAAAGAAACCATGATTAATTCTTGAATATAATTCAGTTTAGGCTGAAGACAGACCCATAGAAAAAAGGATCCAAAAATATTTACTCATTTTTCACTCAGTGACAGCCACCATTAAACTAAAAGAAACATTCTTAGTATTGGAGAGTCAACCCACTGTGATTGACTCCAAAAATAGTGGTTGTTTTTATAATTTTCTAAGCCAGGGTCTGAAAATATGATTGCATCTGAAATGAGAAATATCAAAAGTCAGAGGAGGAGTTGTTTGTTTGGTTTGGCTGGTTCATTTTGGAGGTTTATCTCAATAAAACTTATCACAAAGTTCTTTTCCAGTGACCTGAAATTTAGCAGTTTCTTTATGGGACACCGTGGAAATTACTCAACAAAACAAAAGAAGCTAAACACACACACAAATCATTTAAAGCTAGACCTGACATAAGTTTTTGTTCCCATGTAGACTTTTAGTGCAAGTAGTTTTATAAAAATATTTTTGCTCATTATTTCTGTTTCTCTATCAAACAGCACTGGAAATAAAGCAGAAGCTACAGGCAAGATTTTCTGGAAAGCAAATCCCAGTTACTTTCTTAAGAGGCCAGGGGAGAGAGCAGAAAACCCCAGTTCACATTGTCATCTGGTGGTGAAGACGAGCAGAGTGCTAGGTAACTTTTAGACAGTGGTGGGAGGGAGGTGGAGGAGCAATAGGATCAGTCGTGAGGGAGCAAGTGAAAACCAGTGGAAGAGGTTTGGCTTCATGGCAGAAGAGGGATAATGATTCCAGATCAATGACAGATCAGAGAAAAATATAGGACAATAGTTGTCCTGCAGAGTCCTCATCTTTCTATTTAAGACAGTAGAAAAAGGGGAGCTTAATCGCAATGAAAGCTCCATTTTGGTGTTTCACTCCCATGAAGTTTTGTGACAAATCAGTTAAGCCCACTGGACTCCACTGAAATAAAGTAGCACATGCAACATATGGTTCATTCATTTTCACTTGTCACAAGAATATTTTCTCTTCAGTATCTGAAGCCAATAGCGTGAGCACAAGACAGCTAAGATACACTCCACTAACCTTGTTGCACAAAAAAAAGTCCTGAAATTCAGGCATTTCCCACAGACTACATTGTGTTCAGCAAACCTTGCCTAGCAACAACACGAAGCAGTTGTATCTTTCCCCTTCCCTTCCCCATGCTCTCTATCATTAACAAAGTGTTTATTTATGGTCATGTTGTTCTTACTAACCTTCAACAAATTTTCTGATATTCTGGGCAAGGCTCCGGACACTGCTGGGGAGGTTCCAAGGGTCTTGCTTGATGTGGAGTCGTAGCCTCTTCGGACAGTTAAGCTTCGGTTCTATTTTCTGCTGAAATTCTAAGCAAGGACAAAAAAAATATTTTTCTGCTTAAAGCTCCTGAGAAAGCCATAGTAAGACATTATTTCTTCCTAAATGTTTTCACAGCTCAAGCAGGTGTCAACTTATTTAGTTGTATTATAGTTAGTATTTATCAACTCTAACTATTTAGTTAAAGCTAGGGTGACAGGTCTGACAGTCATCTAAGATCCGTACTTAGTCAAATCAGAGAGAGAACAGCATTCCCAAACATCATTCTCTCTAAATCAGGTACATAAGATGGAAGGTACCTGTCTCCATGGAGTAAGAAGGACCCTGGAACTTTTAGAGGTAAAATAAATTCAATCAGAAAATTAAACTTTAAACAAAATTACTTATTGCCTAACCTAGTCTATCTTTCAAATCATTGAAGTGCTCCTTGTACAGTTAATGAAGATGGTACAGATCAAGAATAAAATATCTAACTTATCCATATCTTCTGTGTAACTGACCATCTGTTATACCACGGAAAGAATAATATTTTGTCATGTGAGCCTGCCAGGTACTCAATCTGAAACACTGAGAAACACAAGAGAGCAGAAATGCTCTAGATTCATCCCCAGTATCTTGGTCCAAAAACAGGAAGGAAAAGAAAAAAAAAAAGAAACCGAGAAAGAGGAGGTTATGCAGTCTTCCATGTAAATTCAGTGAGGGGAAAGTACTTCAGGTTTTGTAAAACCAGATAACAGGTACAGTAATTATGCTCTGTTGACTTCAATGGGATTTTGGTGATTTATAAAAGCCAGAGATCCACCCTCTGGCCATCTAAAAGTAGTTTTCTTTGCCAAAAGACATATGCAGGATCAATAAAACCATAATCAAAACTATTATGCCTATTAATACAACATAGAGTATCCCACTGAGCTTCTTTCTTTTTTTTTTTTTAAAAAAAAAACAACACCAAAATTCAGTTCACTGAAAGAAGTCCTTTGCAGTTTCCATCACAATCTTACAGCTACCACCAGACACCTATTCATACACTTAGACTTAAGCAACTATGTGAGTATCTGAAGTTACATACAGGATTTTTTTTAAACAATAACACTTATGTAAGCATATGTTTGGCATAAATATTACTGTGACTATAAATTTACATTTGCAGATTATTTATAAATCAACTTCACAAGTAATATATCTGCAAAAAAACCTAAAAATCTGGCATTAGTAATAAAGTAGGTCAGAAACGGCTTCAGTAGTTGAGACAAGAATGTAATAAAAACACCTGCAATATACAAAACGTGTTTCTTCCTTCAAAAATCTCAGTAATTCTAGTCAGCTCAGAGTCTACTCTTTAACGCCAACTTCCCAACAAACCTGAAATTCTTTCAGTTGTGCAATAAAAGTGTAAGAAGCCAGTTTTCAATTAAGAACAAGATCTACTTAATTAATCAATTATTGCAGAATGACAAGATTGAGCAAAATCAGTTCTTTAACACCCAGCTCAAGGAGTAGATAGCCATATCCATGTACCCTTCAAGCTGCCTTTTGATTCTCAGAGATAGAATTAAACATTACCTTGGAGGCTTCGACCTGGTGTAAAGTATTTTGTCTGCTCAAAGGCCCTCATCACAGCTGGTCCCTTCAGAAGACTGACAATTGAATCGACCTGTTGGGATCGACTTTTGTGAGAAAGGTGTTTTTTTACAGAAACAATTAGAAATTCTTTCTTTAAGAAATATGGACTACAGAAAAACAGCTTTGGATTCTTTCTTACCTAACGGCTCTAGTTAAAGTAACAAGCTATGGAATGTTTGACTAAATACAAGGACCTGTTTAATTTGCAGTTTTGAACTATTTACAGAAAACTGAAGGGGAATAAGTAAATACATACCATCCCAGTAAACAGTGGAAAGCAAAAGTAAAAAGAAAAAGAAGTATTTGCTAAAGACATCTTAGCTCAAACGTGGGTTTTAGTATCAAAGCCAAGAAAAATAATCGCATACTTGACCAAAAAGATGTTCCAAACAGCTATGGAGCTTGTCCTGTTTATCATGAGAGATTTGAACACTTATGGGAAGCTCATCACCTGAAAAATATTTTCAAATGAAAAATCATTTAGAAGTTCCAGCATCTTTTCCAAAATCTTTGTATCTTAGATAGTTTTCCACACAGACTGATGCTTAGGCTTTCAGAATTACAGTGTCCTCCCTACATATTTTGCATTTAGTAGTCAATAATACAGAAATAGCTCTTAAAGAAAGGACCACATTCAAAACACAGCTGGACAGAGTCCTGGACAACCTGCTCTACATAGGCCTGCTCAAGCAGGGGATTGGACTGGATGATCTCAAGAGGTCTCTTCAAACCTCAACCATTCTGTGACCAGAACACACAAGTCTTCTATGCTGGAGAACATCCTAAACACCATATTAAATGGCTAAGTAGTGTGAACCTAATATAGCAGACCACAAAGTCACTGAAATGCATTCACCATAAAATTTCTATAGCGCTTCTACAGACAATTCACAATCTTAATGTTCTTACTATTCAAATGGTTCTGGGATTTTAGTACTTCAACAAAAATATAGCATCCAAATCCCACATTCAATATGAAGCTTTTAGTAGTACAGACCACACCATTTCCTAAGAGAGTACAAAGAAGAAGGACTATCCTAGGTCACTGCCTTCAGTCACTTGCTCTCTCAGACAACGGGTGATACAATCTGAAGCTGTGAAAAATTGAGCTTAAAGCTGGTTTTCCTCCTTGCTGTTGCAGTGACAGATAAGAAGTAGCCACTTGATAATTTATAATCCAAATTTATTCATGGTCAATCTAGACTCATTTTTCTTATGTCAGCGAAACACTTAAATAGCACTTTTCTCTCCTTGATTTTTTTTTTTTAGCTCCTTTAGATGTCCTTACAGCCAGTAGTCAGAACCCTTCACAGGATTTTAATTGCAACAGATGGAGCACGGTGCCAAAGAGCCCTGATCTGGAGTTAACCAAGTTAGCTTTGGAACTAGAAGAAAATTACTTTGTCAAGAGAGTGGGAGCTTCATTGAACAGCAGTATTTATCAACTCAAACACTGTATCTGCGCTTGGCTAGCACAGATACATTCATTTAGGCACCAGAGTTGGTACCTCAGCTTGATGCTGCACAAGTGCGTATCAGCTCATTTATATCTTAAGTTGAAGATACAGACCCTAGGTCTCCTCTCTTCATTAATGGTTCTTTATGTCCTTCATCCTTTTCCTCTGTATCTGGTCAGCTCTGTAAGTATATATCACTTCTGCAAAGTAGCTGCCTAGAACTGCATTATTTACAAGGCATCTCAGATACCTTGCATAATGTCACTAATACTTTTCTGTTGCAACTGAAAAAACTTCTCCTGGTACAACCAGCAATTAAATTTGCCTTCTCTATGGCCAGGTCTCACCAGTGGCTCATTTTTAACTAATCTGTTCAGGTCTTTCTTTTCCTGAATCATTCCCAAATGATAAATGCCCAGCTCAGAGCAAATATTTTGTATTATTAGTCCCTGAGTCTATGACCTTGCACTCCATGCAGTTAAATTCCATCTCATTCCTATTAGCAGCTGCATTTATTTAAATTCAATTTGTCATGGCATAAACAAGAATGTGCTTCTATGTGGTCTCACATTCCTTCCTACAAACATACACAGCCGTATCCTGCTGTCTGGGTGCTGATGCAAGCTGGGAGAGCATTTCACATTCACCTAAAATGCTCCTTACTCTGTGCAACACAACGTGCTGTCAAGGTCAAGGCATGAAAGTGGTTAAAAGCAGTGACTCCAAGAGCTCTAACTAATTCAGTCTATTCACAGAGACACTGGAATGCTGGCTCTCTTTCACAGAAGGACTCTTAAGTAAAGCACTAGCTAGGCAGTAAGAATATGATACACTTCTATTACCAGGGAGGATGCAATTTTTAAAACAAAAATAACAAAACTGTCAGGCAAATTAAAAGAATAAAACCGAATAAAAGGAACATGACAGACTCATAGCCAAGTTTCCTAAACATACCTGAATCCATTTCATCACTGTGAAAATAAGAACTGCACTGACTGCTACAAATGCTGGTGAATGAGGCAATGGAGTTTCTATTGCTGTTGCAATCGCTTGGAAAAAAAAAACACACACAAAAAAAAGAAATAAAGTCATGTCCTTTAACACAGGCTCTGTATCAAAGTTATGGAAATTATTTCCCTTTTCCCCTTTTAAATTTAATGATGAGATGGTCTGTACAATTCTTCATCAACAATAAAGATCCCTACACTTAGGCGATCATATAATTAGCAACCCTGCTAGGAGTCAGAGGACAACATTCCCGACAGAGATGATTCAATTGTTTCCCTTCACCTTGCATGTGAACAAGTACACTTGCAATGCAAAACAACCAACTTTTCTTACACAAGTGACAGTTTTTGAAACTGTGGCTTCAAATGTTTTAGTAACTCCACATTCAAATTCTGTACTCCTAGTCCACAGTTAATACAAATGACAAAACACTCTGGTTTATAACTTGCAAACTAGAGTCCGTCATCGGTGTAGAAGAGATTTGATCCATTTAAGTAGCACGAAAACTCAAATACAAACTATTTTTCCCTGCTAATCAAAATATAGTTTATGATCCCAACTCTTCCAGCTGTTCATTTTGTTAGAGATGTATAGACATTTACATCTGTGACTTCAGCAAAAACTTCTACGCATACAAAATGTCACCCACATTGGTCTAGTAAGGAGATCTGAGGATTAAAATGTGTATTTTTCTCTGCTCTTTTCTCTCAAAAATAAATTATTCTGTACAGAAAACAGATGGAGAACATACCCACTTCTGCAGCATAGCAGAGTGAAACATAGCTTTTTGTACCAAAAATCCTATGAAGATAAATTCAAAGTCTTCAGAGTTATTTAGCCACAGGAAGACCGTTTAGTTTCAGTGCAGGAAATGCTTAAGTAATTAACTAGTCTTAAAAATCCAAGTGAATAAAAAATAATGTAGAATTGTACCTAAAGGATATTTATATACAATGATCTGGTTTTGGTTTTATGAATTGGGTGTACCCATTCACCAAGATATACACATCTCTATTTTATATATTATGCTACAGTTATACACACACCCATATGCTCCCTACTTGTTTTCTTTATTTTTGTAAATACAGAAGTGATCTTTTTTACTAGTTTTGGGATACTGACTTACATTACCTGGCTAAGGTATGTGTTTTGGACCTCTAGCCGACCAGGTAAGTGAACAGGGAAAGCTTTTAAATGAAGCAATATGATATAATTACAATCATATCCATTAAGTAGGTGAAAAGACATCAGTAACAACATGTTCCTAACAGAGGGTGAACAGTCCCAAGGAGTATTAAGAATTTCTGGCTTGATATTAAGAAAAGTTTTCTAACTAATTCTATTCACTGTAATATTAAAGTCTCCAAAAGGAAGATGAAGGTTATTTAAAACTGCATTGTGCAAAACATGAGAAAATAAAATACAGGAGAATGAGAAACAGATTAGATGTATCAGCTATATCATTCTGCATTTTTGTTATGCTGTATTGTAAGGTTTAGAATGAGACCTTACAACACAAAATGAGAGCATTCTAACAGCTGAAATTAGCCTACTAGTTCTAATAACATCCACAGTGGCATAATGGCACCTGGAGATTTTAAGTATTGCCTAATGTAATTATTTAAGCAAAGAAACAAAAAATTCAAATCTCACCCAACAACTGTTCTAAACTCACAGATTTTATGATTATTCTGCATATGGAACCCTAGATATTATCATTCCTAAGCAGCCAGAATAGACTATAAATGACTGCAATCAGAACAATGAAAATATTATAAACGAAGAGACACTTGTGCCCTACGTCACGCTTCTTTCTCCATATACAAATCTTGTGCCAACTGGGGAACTTCCCAACCGGAGCAAGGGCAGGCCACTGGAGCAGCTCCTGCACCGTCAGTTTGACATGTCCCGGACATGCAGAACCCCCTAAATGTGCTTCACCTGGAACAGCACTTTGGTTGTGTCTTCACCATGGTTAGAACATGATGGACATAATCTGTGCAAACTATCTCTACATTTATTTCTGTTCAAATTTATGTGTATATTTCTGTTTCTACTCTGACAAAGAGTTCCTATCTACCAAGTTGCAGTAATCAAATATTAGTTTATGAAAGAGATCTCAGTAACACAGGGTTCTGCAGAAAAATGACGACCCTACTGAGACTCTACTTTCTGAGCATAATAATGAACCATAGTAATGAACAAATAATGAACCCTTATTTTACATGCAGCTAAAATTTTAATTTAGATTTTATATCATGTAGTTAACCAATTCTCTCTAAGCAACAGAAGATAATCTTTATAAGACTTATGCTTGCTATAATTACTCCTTCCTTTTCAAATTTCTTTCTATTTTCATCCACAGTAAACCTGATGTATTATGAATTCTAGACATGAGATGATGGTACAATATTTACAGTGGAAGAAGGTGAGGAATATATGTTGAGAAAAAGGTATTTTTTTTCTTTAGATCAGCAAGAGTGGTGGCTCTGGCATCTTGCTTTCCATGGCAGATATTTGGTTTGTTGCTGGGGAACGTAATAATAGAAATTATCTCTGTTTTTTATTAAGACAGGTAATCTAATGTAAAGCTTTACAGCTCTGGCTGTCATACCCTAGAAAGGTTAGGGATATCGAGATCTAATAACTAATCTGTATTCATAAAAGAGTTTATTTTACACATTTTATAAACACAACTTGATTCTATGTCAGAATCACTACATTCTGATAGTCTTCATAGCCACTTAACAGTCTACAAACCCATAGGTTTGATTCAGTTGACAAATAAAAATATTATTAGTAAAGTTACCTGTATGAATCCCTGTTGCTGATGGTATCATGACCAGAATCTTCTTGTTCATCACCTGTCACGCTGAAACAAACTTTCTTCCCATTCCTTTCCCCCTTTTCATTATCACTGTCTGCCGGTATTAAAGGCTCAGGCGTTTTACGTTCTGATTTGGGAGAATATGTTATTGAAGAAAGAAGGCTGTGAGACAAAAAAAAAATAAAAGATAAATTAATGTTTTTCAAAAGTGAGCTAACAACAGAACAACATTTCTCATCAATGTCCTCCAACTACTGTTCCATAATATGTGAAGGGAACACCTTAATTCAGTCCATATCTATTTGAAACAAGGGAAGAAAGTGACACATGCTGCTGTTAAAAGTGTAACAGTGAAACCCACTAGTACTACCAAATACTCCATCTTGTATGCAGGCAATGATTGCATCTGGGGAAGAAATACAGCACATTCTTGAACACTTTGGGTCAAATTTTGTATTAACATAACTATTTTTAAACATGAACCATGTACTTCTCAGCACAAATTAAGAAAACAAACCAAAGAAACTACATCTCTGTGAAAAGCATGTATTTTCTGAATTACTACTGTACCAGACATGCCAGACTGTATCACAAGCTATTTTACTAAGGCATTTTAAGAATCTTCATTAACATATCTGTGTAGTTCCTGACATCCAAAGCATCTAAGCCGCTACCACAAGTAAAAGTCATGATTAATCTACAAGCTTCTGTGACGAGCAAAAAAGTGACATCCAGTCAAGAAGAAAGAACAGTGCAGACTGCTACATTTAGAACATGCACAAATACTGGAAGCAAAAGATTGATATTCTTGGGAGATTAACTCATATTGAGATGTTCTAATTTACTTTCAAGATCAGAACAGCTATAATGGGCAATTGTCCTTTAATTCCTATTACTCAAACACTCCATTAGAATGACGTTTTCAAACTAGTATTTGGATCTGAAAGGCAGCGTTTTTCTTGCAAAAACTACCTTCCAACTATCCCGAATCAGAAGACCCTGAATTAAGCTTTTTTTCCTTTAAAGTACTTAGACACAGTAGCAGGTTTTTATTGCAGGAGCTGTCAGAATGGTCAAGTGGCAAACTTCCTATCAAATACATGGCAGCACTCAAACATATGTTAGATCTTTTTGTTACACATAATTCTTACTTCTGAAGGGAAACTGTGTGAGATGCATATATTCTGTGAACAAAAATGCTGCCCTAATTGTTATTAAAGGGTAGCATTAAGAATTTCTTCCTTTACTCTTATTTCTCCGAACACATACTAGCAATGTTACATTATGCAAGTAGGGAATTCTGATTTTAAGTGGTTTAGAGATCCATCTTAACTTTATGGGATTCCACCAGATGAAGTAATTCATTCCTAATCCTAACAAAGTTAAGTTTCTTCAGCTACAGTTACATCAGTACTGAGCTATCAATTTCTCTACTCTTTTGACAAAGACATTGTACTAGAAAACAACCTGATCCTAAGCTGTTCTTGATAGTTGAAGTTTCTGGACTCAAGACAACATGTTCAACACCATGTTCAACTATAACGTTTTTGAGTATACACAAATAATTTCCTGACTCTCAGGAATGGACAGAGTTTTAAGAAAGAAATTATGAAACCATGTATTTTGGAAACACAATAGGGTAGACTATCCTTATAATGCTGTCTGTTGACTGTATAGAAATGAATACATACCTCAAATGGCATATCAAGCTTTGTCTCATTGAAATCACGACCTGATAGATGTTAATTTAAAGTTTGACATTTACTTTAGGGAAACAAGGATGATCAGTATCCTTTCAAATCCTTTCGTCATTACTGCATAACTCTCTTTGGCTAAGAGCCAACAAGAGACAGACAGATAAATATTTATTCTACATATAGGAAAAGGTATTGATCTGAACTGTAACTGAAATACAGAAAAACTACACAAAAGGTATAATTTTACTGGTCTTTAAACCCACCCATCCACTAGACAGACACCTTTTGGGGCTACATGATGCCTTAACATTTCATATCAGTGTGAAATCACAACTCAATTCTTCCCTATCACAACAGGCACCAGTTACTGGATTTTATGAGGATAGGAAGAAAGATGAGGCCCATATTTTACAGGAGCATTCAGTCTCAATCTACCTGCTATATTCTTGAACATATATGTGTTATGAAAACGCAGACCTCTGAAAATCAGTTCTTTGTACTTGTAAAACTGATTAGTACAGAATTTTCTGAATATGAAAATACAAAACAGATTCAAAAACAGATTAGGCAAGTTCTTGGCAGATCATTCTAGTGCTGCTCTTAAAACAAAAGGCCCATTCCAAGCACTGCCTGCTGGAAGATAAGATGAGATAAGGACAAGGTTTAATCTACACTACTGCTTTTTCTTGTGCTCCCATTATCATCCACTTCTAGGAAAACAAAAATAGGCTTTGAGCAGATTCATTCTGGTAACTTCTTGTGGATTTTGTTGTTGCAAGAAAATAATCAAGAGTAAGAAACAAGCATAATGAACTGCAATTTCAGCTCCTGAAAATATCTTCCCCTGAGTAATTATTTGTCAAGACACAGACAGACTATTATATCCTCTTCTTTTGTGTGACTGTTTAGTCATTGCTGCCAAGAGCTCAGTAAAAGACTGATGAAGGTAGCTGGAGCTTTTCCTAAGGGCGCTTTTCACTTTCTCTCAGCAGGCAGGCTCTTTTTCTAAGGAAAATTTTTTTGCTGAACTACCATGAACGAAAGCTGTAACTTTGGATAACAGAGTTCTGGAGCTGGTAGTTCCCGAGGTCACTGAAGGGCTCTTAGAAACCCAGTTCAGAGAGACTAAAACAAACAAAAACGAACTGAAGATAACACAAACCCAAACCTGATGCAAAAAAACCCCAATAATCATGATGAAATAAGAGTCTTATTTAAAAAAAATAAAATTGTTTTTTGTCTTCTTAAACACAGAACATGTACATTATATTTTCTTGGAGACAGGTCTACCCCAAACAAAATTATCTTAGATGTCTATCTCTCATGGGAGGAGTATGTGACTGAGTAGTAACTAACAGTTAGAAAATCCTTGTAACTATGAAGAAAATTTCCATGAAACAAAGAAATTGAAATCTCGACCAAGAAAATCCTCATATGTGGAATTCATGCTATATGCAACCCAAATCAACACAACCTTAAAAGTGTGTCAGAAACAAACAAAACCTGCTATGGTCAGTCGAAGCATTAAAAATGGATAGCCACAAACTGTAACAAAAAGCCTATGCAACCTGGGAGCTTCTTTGCCTTTTCCTCACTCCACGGAGGCTTGGAAAATGTTTGAGCCTCTTGTATACTCCCAACAGACATCTTTCCAAAAATCATCTGGGATCGTGGGAGCACACTGAGTGCATGTGAACCAAGAACACGGCAGAGTCACCATACAGAAAACAACTTGAAGAAGGACTTTCTACCTAGCATCAATGGTGGGTATCTGGCAATGGTACTAAAGAAGTACTGGGATACAATCTAACTATTCGAACAAGGAGTCAGTGGACCTTTGAGAGGCTGTGGAAAGGCAGTATTTGTCTTTTTGTGTGTACCTCCCTCTCCATCAGTACTGTATTTCTTATGCAACCCAACCTCACCACTGAGCCGTAACAGAAGTTATTATGAAGATAACGCTGGGAGTATACAACCTTCTCTTAGACATTCCCCTCCCATAACCCACAAGCTCTCACAGACCTGCTTTTCAGGTGAAACACTGGTTTTTCAGTTCGCTTTCATTTGCTAACAGATAGGAGATGTTGGGGACATAACACTGCCCCAAGATTTTGGGAGCTGAAAGAGACCATTACTGACCTCAACACAGAGCATAGACACCAAGTAACACGAAAAAGCAGCAGTTTTTCAAGCATACTGTTATAAACTGTACCAAAGAGCCATTTAGTAGCCCAGTTTCTCTATCATTCAACATAGTGTAAATTTAGAATTGGAATGGTGTTCATATTTTCTGTCCTGAGAAAATCATAGTAATGAGGATTGCTTATAATAATAAGCAATTCAGTAAATAAAGACATCAATTTTATTGTTGCTGTCATAACAGAAAACAGTTCTACAGTGTTTATAAAGTTCAAGCATTTCCTCCTAGCTGCTGAAGTATGAATATTTCTAACTCAAGCACAGCTGTTCGATTATCCTATCTTATTACTCTATGTTTTGTTCCTTAGTAGTCCTAACTTTTCTCTCAAGAGTTAAATTAGTAGCTGTAACTATGATCTAATGTTACACACCACGTACTGCTGAACTGCTTGCACACGGGTAGTCCCGGCTTTCCTCTTCCCTGTTCAGCACTTTTAAGCAGGTCCCTTGGCTATCCTGTTCCCTGTATAGAACCTCCTTCTTTCACAGTAATTACACACTGGCAGTCCATTCAAAGTCCATGAGGAATAAAGCATGAAAAGACTGTGTCTTACAAATAGCAAAAGGTAAAATTTCCTACATAGATCTGTGCACCTTATACAAGATCTGCCACAAGGTCAGCGTACAGGAAATTTATGAAAGAAAAGAGTGAACTCTTGTGTTTACTGTCACAACTGTGTGACTCTCAAGATGAATATATGTGTGTATATACGTATATGCCTGTACACACAATCTATGTGTGTGTTTATTTATATATATACACGCATGAAAGAAAGGCTCAGAAGCTCCTGTGCTTTTCCACCACAGGCTCAAGCAAGTGGAAGGGAAAGGCGTGGCAGACTGGTAACTGGAACTTCCTGAAATATTGACTGAACTTCCATATACAGTTTTCTGACTTCGTTGAGGAAGAGTGACAACACAGGCTTTACAGACAGTAATTTTTAAGTGCATCCAAACACTGAAAGTATCTTAAATTTCATTAACTGACTTCATCTCCTTCAGCATAATAATTAGCAGAACTACGTAAAGGCACAGGAAACAATGCTTTCTTTATAAATTTTGAGGCCACTCTTACTTTCATTCCTATTGCAGTATATAATACATTACAATTACTCATTACTGTGTAACTATTACATTACATTACTATTAGAACAATACAAAAAAATTCCCATGCTGAAATAAGAATGAAAGGACAAATCATGTTACGGTTTTCAAAATAACAGGAGAAGCCAAGATACAGCACTCTTCCAAACTGGAGATCATGAAAGTTCTAAATTATGTTATTTAGATTTTCAAAATGAGTAATTTCTGACATTTGCATTACATGTGGGATCTTTCAAAACTGAAAGACCTATCACCCTTCCTCATCCTCATCCCAAGACAGCAAATAGCCTAGCAGTCAACCCACTTACCTCACACATGGAAAAGTAAGTTTTAAATCCTTGTCCTGAATTAAGACGAACTGTGATGAGGCTCTGGGTCTCCCACATGCAAGTTAAGTGTCCTAATCACTCAAGAGTGGCTCTCCATAGTTCTTCATTAAGGCAAATGCTTTTTTGAAAAATTTCTAACAAATTAATAGTCTTTCTATGGGTGAAAAAAGCTTTACTTACGAATTAATATTTGGGACTGTTCGGCAATACCTGAAGAGTTCAATAAATGTTATATTTATACCCTCCGCCCTTTGTTTCCATTCCTAATGAAATTTTAGATGACGTGGGCCTCGCATTTCTCTCACCTCACTATGGTTAGCATTTCCATATTCTGGAGCAAAGCTATAAACTAAAGTGGGGAAAAATCAGGGATGTTGGGAAAAAGAACAAAATATAATATTACCTACACTTAAATTCTTGGCCTTATTTCAATTCTATCTGAAGTCAACATCGATCCTACACTACACAAAAAGGATATACAGTTTTATTAGCATCTTCAACAGAAAAATTAAAGGCAAGTCCAGGTAGTAACATTTACTTACTCATCTATTTGACAGACACACGTTTCCACCTCTTTCAGTGCAGCCTGTAATTTGAGCAGCAATTTTTGATAGACATCTTGTGTTTCTAAATCTTCTTCTTTTAAGAGGTACCTCAGACCGTGGCCCTCTTGCTGGCCCAGAGACTGTCCTGAAGGGGCAGCCATAGTAGTAATGGTATGTTGGACATATATCATGGGATTCAGTTTACCTGGGAATAATCCAAAGAGACTACATCAGTATCTTTTTTTCAACATAGATTTTGAAGTAAAATACCTAACAGACATTGAAATATTTTCCTGCCTAAAACTTCAAGTAATTATTTACTTTTGCATTTTATTTTGCAAATCAAAGTCAAGCTATTTCAGCAAAAAGTTATTGTGAAATTATGACTAGCTTTTATTATGTTTTAAAATAAACTTAAGTATCAAAACCAGGGAGATTTCATAAAGGCTTGTTCTTAATTTTAATATTTGGGACATACAACTAAACCAGTTACCTTTTAAGACTCTACATCAGAAGCACTGGAAGTAGTTCTTTAAAGCTCAGCTGACTTACCTTGATCAGTGTTCTTATTTTCCTTTTCATGGGAAGAATGTTTTCTGCTGTCTAACTGTACACCAAAGGCACTACCGAGGGAAGTTGAGGTTTTAGGGTAAGACACTTCCATCACATTGATATGGCAGTTGGTTGGACAGAAATCACTGCTGTGAAGTGGTGAAATCTTTGACTTAGCTTGTTTGAAGGTAGGCCAAGCTCTGTTTTTTAATACTCTTGAAAACTAGAAGTGAGAAAGAAAACAAAATTTTGATTAACAGCTTCTGATGTGTCAGCATTTGGCTGACAAAACTTGTGTACCTGACTAGAAAACAAAAGTTTAAAATATTTCAGGCATCCTTGACTCCCGAAGCCTTGACTTGATAATTTCCATCTTCCTCTACAGGCGAAAGAAGAAAATATTTTTCATTTTATATTTCTGAGGGGTTGTTTTTTGAAGTATATGACATTTACAAATGTAACAAGGAGATAGGATTTATTTTCCTTGCAATATAATAAAATATTAGGTGTCTTCCTGGGGAGAAAGTCTGAAAGTGCTCTATGATCCAGTGCTGTATTGCACAGCAAGACATTGACTTACAAACACCTGATGTTTTCAAGTCAATGTCTTGCAAAATTTTCTGAAATTTTTGCTTGAAACTACAATAAAGACAGAATTGGAAGCTATCAATTATGAATTTCATATTCGGGAAGGATGAAATCCTCCCTAATGGTTTCCTGGGCTGCATTCAGAGAGGCGTTGCCAGCACGCAGAGGGAGTTGATGATGATGCCCTGGTGAGGCCACACCTGGAGTACTGGGTCCAGGTCTGGGCTCCCCAGAAATAGAGACATGGGCACACTGGAGGGAGTCCAGCTAAGGGCCACTAAGATGGTTAAAGGACTGGAGCATCTCTCCTACGATGAAAGGCTGAGAGAGCTGGGACTGTTTAGCCCAGAGATGAGAAGGCTCAGGGGTTCTCATCCATGTAGTCAAATACCTGAAGCAAGGGGGCATAGAGGATGGAGCCAGGCTCTTTCCAGTGGTGCCCAGTGTCAGGACCAGAGGCAATGGGCACAAACCAAAACACAGGAGGCTCCCTCTGAACATTAGGGAACACTTTTTCACTATGAGGGTGACCAAGCACTGGCACAGCTTGCCCAGAGAGACTGTGGAGTCTCCCTCCTTGGAGATACCCAAAAGCTATCTGGACACAGCCCTGGGGAACCACCTCTAGGTGGCCCTGCTTGAGCAGAGGGGGTTGGACAAGACCTCCAAAGGTCCCTTCCAACCTCAACCATTCTGTGATTTTGAGTGATTCTGTGAAACTGATAAACATTAGAGCATAAAAATTGCAAACACCGTATTTTGCAGACTTTGCTAGTCCACCACCTCTTCTCTCCCCCATATATCAGCTCAGCAATGATGAACATTTCCCCCCATGCCTGTTTTGGGGTCTAATTCTAATAGAGTGCTTAGTCATATCTCCTTCACTATAACACCTGAAACTTCGTGCACACTCTTTGAACGGGCGTGGAGTTATTTATTTTTTAGGATGAAATGATGTCAGCCCAAAACAGCTAAGACTAAACTGTATTAAATTTGGACACTTAGAAAATTCAGAGCCATAAAAGTCATGAGATCAAGATCTCTCATTGGAAAAGAGAATTATCAGGCACAAGTAGGATTTTTGTCAAAATGCGTCCTTCCCAGTGTAGTTTATTGTTATGGTAGAATTTTTTCTGGAAAAGATGTAATCAGTATGTCTCCAGTCAAAATATTGCACAGACCTTCCTCAGCTATGAAGCACAGCTCATGCACAAGAATACTTTCGAAGTTAACTTGCAAAGTTCCTTCCCTAATAAATGTCAGTACAAATTCAATCAGTCATGTTTTGACTAACATTTCAGTTGAATAAACGTATGTCCCTTCTGAGTAATAATAGGTTTTCGTGCTGCGATATAAATTTCTGTTTCTTTTGGTGTCATATTACTTCAGCCCGATGAACATTTGACTGATTAATTACATTTAAATCTTTATATCAGAACAAGATCTGGAAAGTTACAAGAAATCCAATTATGGAATTGTTCGAAGGCTGAAGAATGTACAAACAGTTAAGAAGGGCACTAAGGACATTCAACGACGAAAATGTTCCTGCAAGCAGCACATATTTCACATCTCAATCTCCCACACATCCTGCTCCAGAGAGACCAAATGCCTGGCTACGATTTAATCAGGTCATAAGTAAGGCCCAAAATTCTTTTCATATATGTGTTGAGAAACATCTGGGACTCATGGCACTGGAATCGAGGTCTATTATAAAAAAATGTTCTGATAATAATAATAGTAGGAACTGCAGAAATCTACAGGGCTTCTATTTATAGAATTCGAACTTTCACAGTGAAACCAGGAGCCAAGCCAGGCTCAGTCACTCCGAAAGTCTCCTGTAACTATGGTTACCTTTACCTTGCCAAGAAAATGACACATCTGTTCCTGAAATTCATTCCATTACTAATTGTCATTAAAAGCCGTAACTGTGAAACCACTGATTTGTGAGCAGATGAGCTTGAAAGTGCAGTTTGTATCAGTAATATCTGCTTCTAGACAGTATAAGCACTATGAAAACTCCCCGAAGACTGTTTCATATCCAGTATAACACAATATAATTTCACTTATTGTCTTGGCCTCCTGTAAAGAGACTGTACATCATGCTCAAATTTTTTGGCCACAGGAAAGGTATAAACCACCTACATGTTACTCAAACTCTAAATACACTATTATTAATGTTAAAACTAATAATTTTGGGGTTTTTTTAAACATATTTTGATTTTTAATCAATTTGAAAACACAGAGGTTTATAATTCAGGCAAACAACAGAGAGATGGGATGTTTGGTAATGCAGTATCAGGATCCTTTTGATCTCCTTCTGTGACTCAACTCCTCATTTCTTGTCAGAGAGCACCCTGAAAAGTCTTTGGAAAACCACTTTTTGGCCTTCACCCTGCTGAAGCTACAGGTTTTCCTTACAGTTTTCTCTCCTTTTCCTTTGAAAAACAAGAAAACATTCTCTGTTCTTTTCCACACAACTTTTAGAACTGTATGAGGCTTCTACATTGAATGCCTTTTCTTTTATTTCAGTTTTTTGCATATTAACTCTCAGAACAGAACAGTTTGAAAATGTCACAACTCAAATCCCCAACTGAGATAAGACAGGGCAGAGTCAGTTCTATGTAGCCATTCTGGGCCTGCTGCAAACTAGTTCCAAACTCCCAACAATTAAGTTGTATGGGAGAAGAACCAGAAGCCAGGATGAGAAAATAAGTTTGTGTTAACAAATTGGCAAATGGTTCATTCATTTATGCCTTTCTTAGCTAAACAACTACAGAGAAATACACTGACAGCAACTAGAGGTCATATTCTGGGTTATTTATTCATTCACATCTCATTAATTTAGATCTCAAGTGTATGAAAGTCAGCACCTTCTCCTTTTTTCCATGCTACAATGTTTTATTAACCTGAGTTAATCTTAATGATTCACAGAGCTATTACTACTAATAGCAATGTTAGAAAAAGTCATACCAATTTGAAGGGCATAAAATATGAATAAAAGGGTAACAATTTGGTATTTAAAATTAAGATGCATTAGAAGGAAAAAAACAGTTCTGTTGTTATTGCTCTGCAACTGAACACAGCAAACAAGGAAGGATACAATCCACCCAGCATCTAAAAAAGGGATACTAAAGAGCACAGATTGAAAACAATTTAGGCAATTACTCAGTTTAGGCATTCATGACTTAAAATAGCCAAACTTCCAGCCATATTTTCATCATTGCAATAGACATTTTGAAGAGTTATTCAAACTGTACCACATTCCCCTGTTTTTCCCTTAAAAGACAAGTATCACCAAGCTTAGGACATGCTAGTCATACCTTTTTATAACTAGATATTCTTCGGTAGATATGTTCAATTTTCTCACTGCAAATGACACTGAATTTACTCTGAAGCTCAGTGGGGATCACTTCATTTAAGGAATTGAGGCTGTTGCAATTCTGCACAAAATGTTCATCACTTTTTGCCAACGCTTCAAGAATCTAAGATAATAAAAACAAGAGCAGTACGTTATAAAAAAGATGACTAAGATAACCCCTCACTTATCCCCTTACTTATCATCCCTTATAATTAAAGCTGAAAAGCCCAATAATCAGTTGCCTTTTAACATTACAGGCAATGCTGCATAAAAACAATTACTGAAACTTGTGAAGCAAAGAGGTTTCTTTAAATCTATCCCCTGCATAAGTTATGCCCATAATAAGTACTTTTATTTGGCTTCTCATGACATTCTCTGATAATGGATTTACTACTAATTTCCTACTAATGTAACCACTATGGCTCCTCTGAAATACATTATCTGCTGTATTTACTTGAACAGCACATATTATTCAAAGCTGAAGAATTAATTCATTACTTCTAGCAAAACATTGGTCTGGCAATATAAGCAATACTAACACACTGAAAAAGCAGACAAGAAAACTGAGTGCTATCCTCTTGTATATTCTGCATATCTATAAACAGGAAATAGGGAACAGAACAAGCTATACTGCCCAGCAAAGTCTGAAGTCTTTCTACTAGCACCAGCAAGTGACAGCAATAGAAAACTGAAAGAAAGGCATGTTGAAGAGATGAGGGTATTATACAGCCCTTTCTTTGGAGTTAGAGTTAGGGTTTCAGGCATTGAAATTCACTGTGTTAAGGAACCTGAGAGATGCCTATTGCTGATTGGGTCCAACTCTGAAGATGTGTTTGAAAACCACACCCAAAATAACTTTCTAACCAAGGCATCCAAAATCCAGATTAAGGCACTTACTTAAGAAAAGGCTCACATTTTAGAGATACTCAAAGAAGTCTGGACAAACAACACACACAATATTAATCTATGGTGGGATCTGTGTCTGTAATTCACTTCTGGTACAGTTCATTAATATACTATCCACCATCACAGATGCAATACATGTTAAGATTGACCAAGGGGTTTAGAAAAAAAAAATGACAACATACAGAAATTTTGGAGTGCCAAATCTGAAGTTTTTAAGAAGTCACAGATTATAAATTACTAGAACCTCAGAGAATTTTTTTCTCAGGTCCCCAGCAGAATGAATTCAGGAAAGTCTTTAACTCTCCTGCTACAGTGTTTAATTACTGTATTAAAACATCCCAGTCACTTTGGTCACACTTTTAAGCTTCCTTTGTGTCAGGTTTAATTAAGAATACAAATTTAAATAATTCAAGTGGTTTTTTTCGCAACTGTACATTAAAGTAAGCGCATCCAAAACCAGTAACTTTTGCAGCACAACTCTGGATAGTTTCTCATCATAATAATTAACACAAAGACTTGCATAACGTAGGAAAGCAGTCCAGGATCACTTCACTCCCCTACTACACATGATGCAGAATAGAGATGTTTAAAAATGCAAAGTAACAATAAATACACAGCAAAGAGAGAAAGAAGTATATGGAGAGAAGCGTAAGGCCGCACTGAACGCACAGAGAAGTTTATGGTCAGAGTATTTAAAACCATTTGCAGAGAGTTACGCTTGATGAAGTGCCACTACAAATTTTATTATTGCCTTTGAGTGAAGGGACCTGATTTTTCTATCAGTGGAACCTTTTGTAGTCATTTCATAGAATCATAGAATGTTCTGAGTTGCAAAGGACCTTTAGAGGTCATCTAGCCCAACCCCCCTGCCAAGACCAGGGACATCTTTAACTACATCAGGTTGTTCAGAGCCCCGTCCAACCTGACCTTGAATGTTTCCAGAGATGGGGCATCCACCACCTCTCTGGGCAACCTGTTGCAGTGCTTCACCACCCTCACTGTAAAAAATTTCTTCCTTCTATCCAGTCTAAATCTACTACTATTTAGACCTCTGTCACTTGATATAAACTTTATATTGTTCTAACATAGTCATATTACATCTCATTATTGTTTTTTAATAATTTCTAAATATTTAATTAACCAACCTAAACACTAAGGGTGATGACACTGCATTATTTATGGCCAGAATCAGTATACTGAAAGTACTTCTTCACTACTCCACAGAAACCACAGAAAAATATTTCTTAAGCAGTTAGGAAATACCACCTTTAACGTTTTATGTGAAATTGCAATTACAGCAAGAACTAACATCTTTCAGGCCAATGACCTGAAGCATTGACTAGACCAGCTCTAGAAAATCTCGTGACGTTGGTGCACAAAGTTACTGCCCTGTCTGTCAACCTGACCTAATCCAAAGTGAAGTCAGGGAAAAGAAATACATGCCCATGCCTCAGTCATTTCCATAAAAGATCAGTACTTTAGTTTAGTTTACACTTCTGATGGAAAGATGAACAGAAGAAGAAATTTGCAGATATCAATACACTCCCCAAAAGTTTGGGCTTTCATACTTTTATTGTGTACTTTGTTAGCACGTGTATTTGTGTGAAAAGATAAAAACAAACTTAGTATAAGAGCTGTATTACTACACTATTTGTCAACCTGACCCAGACAATACCAGATATATCTAAAAAATTTCACATCCCATTCATAGCATTCACAGATTTTACAATTTGGAAATATTCACAAAATAAAAATGCCAAAGAAAACTCTAAATTTGCACTTGTTTTTTTCCTACCACTGTGATTTTGCCAATGTGTGCGCCTATATATGCACATCTTTATCTTACTTTCAGACACAGAAAAAACAGGTGTTGTACTGGTTCTTTTACTGAAACAAATTTTTAAAGTTGCACATGCAATTCTGATGAGATTAAATAACTGATGAAAACTACAGCCTACCTTCATCAAGTTTTGACATTTCAGTGAGTCTTTGACTTTCTTTCAGGTTTCACTTGATAATCAAGAAAAAAGGGAGAGGAGGAGGAGGAATGGAAGACTTTAAAGTTCTTTAACACTTTTTCATTTTAGATGCTCAATTTATAACCACACCATAACCTAAGTTTGCTTCCTGGGTACACAATCATCCTCCAAAAGGTGAACAACTATAAGATATTAAATGAAATACATATAATCCTAAGAATAAGCAAAAGACAGATGTTGCTCCATTGGTATTAAGTATAGTAGGAATTAATACATATAAAAATTTCTTCACACCTTTGCAGTCAAGCTGAAAAATCCCTTGGGTTCAATCATTTTTTCTAACACATGGCACTTTATTCCAGCTGTGCTGTCATACTCATAAACCACTCCATACTCCAGATGAACGTTGTCAACAGTCAGACTCACATGATCTTTCTTCCCGTCAATTATTGCCATAGTGTTAAATTTGTCAATTACCTCTAGAATAAAGAAAATAACACAAATCAGTTGAGGAGAGTTGGCCATTACACAAACTAAAAAGGACTTAGGCAAATGTTCTAAAAACAGGTATGCTTTGATTATTCCAGTTTAAAACGTTCGTTAAAAAACTCAGCTACCAGTTGAATGATTTAATGATTTAAAAATCAGAACACCAGTAGGTTTATGGATGCCAAAATACTAGATTGCTGAAGAGACATGAACAGACAAGTCACAGGAGTCTCTCTTTACAAATAGTTATTGAAGGGGACTAATTCAATTTCATTTATAATCCAGAGACATAAAAAGCAACAAAAAAAAGGGAAAACTGAGAACTCCTAAATAAACTAGAAGAAAATGGCCATTCAGAAATGAAACCACAATATCAGCATTTACCCAGAGAACATAAATACAGTTCACATTCACTTTCTCTTTAATTACCATGATGCATATGAATGCAGCTTTACCTAAATGTTAATTGCCTGAAAATAATCTGAAGGACAGCTGATTTGTTATTTCTCACGCAGCAGTGACTAACACATTTAGCCTTAAACGATTACCAGTGGTGAAAATAAATCAGGTAATTCCAAGGATTATGTATCCTGTGAATGAAAATTGAACAGATTTTCCCTGAAGTGTTCACAGAAGCTTTCTCTTGAAATAGGAAATATAATAATTTTCAGAGAACAGCATGTTACATCTACGTCTTTAGAATACATAAAAAAGCAAATCCTTATGTAAAACGCATCTTACGATCTGTTTGCAATTTCCTCTCTGAAAACAAAGCCACTGCCTATATTTTCCTTGCTACTAAACCAACATTCTGAGCAACAACAAAATCAAAACAAGCATCATATACCTTCCACTTTGCAGTCAAAGGCATCTCCTCCATCATCTCCGGAGGGCTTGGTGTTTGTTTTCTGAAGATCCTCCTGTGCACTTTCAATGGTGTTGTAAACCCACTGTATAGAATCTTGCTAAAAAACAACAGAAAAAGACAGCTAGGAAAAGCTTTGCAAGTGCAATTGATAGTAACTTATTTCACTGCTCTTAAACACGAAATAGTTGCTTTAATTCTCTGATTATTACTGGCTCTGTTGTCTTCTAAGATCCAAGTTAAAAATAGTATTTTTAAAATTACAGAGAATTTTGGCTTTGTCTAAAATCATTTGAAGCATTCTGTCAACTTGTTTTTTACTTCAGAGTATACTGTCATGAGACAGTACAAAATCTGCAACAGCATGACATCCATCAGTTTCATGTCTCTGCCAAAAATAATTTAAGACATTTCAAATCAAACTGCAGATTGAAAAATATTTGAGACGAGAAATTGTGAAAAAATAAGAACAACCAATTTTTGCTTTGCTAAACTTGCTGTGCCTTCACAAATCTGCTGGCAAATACTACAGAAGAGCAACCAAACATAGTATGTCCAGTTAATCTGTCACCAGCAAGAAAAATATACACTACAGCCTTCATTGCTTATATCTGCCTTTACTGCAGTTATTTTACTAAATGTTCTTTATTTTTCCCCCAGATCAGCAAAACTCTCAAAAAGGACAGAATCACAGGCCCCAAAAGTCCAGCATCTTATGTGACTGAGCGATACGAGCACAGGAATGGTGGCTTGGTCATACAACCTACAAAGAAGCCACCGGTACACCTTACATCTTGTTCTCGCCCCTCACTTACTCGGCCACATGCCCACCACCTCCTTGAGGAAGGGTCTATCAAGTATGGCATCTCCAGACTACTTTTCTCATCCCCTTACACTTCAAAAGAAGCTTGACAGACAGTTAATCTCTAAAACAGCTACAGCAGAATAAATGACATGATTATGACTAATCTGAATTCGTAGCCTTTAAGAAGCTGTTTGTGGAAGAATTCAAAGTTAAGCAAGGATAGCAAACGTTTAAGCTGAAGGTTATAATTTTCACCAAACTGCCAAGTACATCCAATTATGCTTTGCTAATATACAATAATCAGCTGCTATCTTTATCCCATTAATCATAGATAACTAAATTTTTGTATGCTTAAGTTACTATTTCTCTCTGGGTTTCCTAGATTCATCCATGCCTTACTTATCACTCTGTGGCACTGAAATATTTTAATAAGGAAGCTTAACTTTCAGAGCTCCTGTTGATTGTTGGTAGACAGCTGTGCACAAGCCGATCAACAGAAACGCTTCTGAAACCCACACTTCTTTGCAGGTACACCTGAAAGCTTGCTGCTTATTTATGGAGTCTTACAGGTTTGCTTGGCAGCTTTAAGACTGCCATACCAATCTGTACCAGGAGATTTACATTATGTCAAATGGTTCCTTCATTATTTCTACTTAATATGTCCTAATGGAAGGACTAATTACTTCAACAGGAAGTCCCTCTTTCAAAAGTTAACATAAGATATAATGCAGTATGATTTGGAGCAATGTTCTCCAAAAGCATTACAGAGGCACAAACTAAGCATAAATCTGTCACATCATGATTAGTATCATTGCAAATAAATCGTAATTCCAAGAAGTAAACTCTGCTTTCAATTTTCTTTATCCAGACAAGACAGAAAGAATACAAACATTGTCCAACAGAAGCTACACAGTTATTCACACTGCAAGAATCTGAAATGAAACTTCATGCTCCAGGCAAGCAGGAAGACTCCTCGTCCTGAGAATTAGAATATAGCGGAAACAGAAAAAGATCTCCCTTCAATTAGGCAATTGGCAACCACAGGAGAGACTGCAATATTCATGGTAATTAAATGATCGGCTAATGCTCTGTACTTACAAAATAGGAGAAATCCATAGCCATCTTCCAAATAATTAAAACCAAAATTTCTGAATAGGAAATGAAATTTTAGCTGTCTTGACTCCAGTGGGAATACTGCCATTTAATTCAGTCTAGACAGTTCTCCATAGCATTTGATAGCACCATATCTTAAATTAAGTTTTTCTTGTCAGTTTGGGGGCTTTTATTCATTCGTGATTTACTGCATTACAATCAGCTACTTTTTAAAATTGAAATAAATACTCTATATAGGAAAAAGTTAGGTACTCCAACTTATTGCAGAAGTGGATTAAACCAGAGTAATTTTTGCATGTCAAGGCATTCATGCCAGCCAACATTAATCAATCCTCCTCAGATGTCACTAACCTCTATAGGAACTCTACAGCTATAGACAGAGATAACTCACCCGCTATAAAGAATTTAGTTTATCTTTTGTTCTCACCAGTTTTGCTACTAGCACACAAAGCACCCTTTCTTTACTAGAGTGCATGTACATTTAAAGCATAGGTGAGCTTGATCTTGATATGCTATGTAACAATTTCAATTCTGTATTAGAGTTTAAACACAAACACCCAGACAAACATTTTCATAAAGACTGTATTTGCACGACACAGCTCTAACTAACTCTTACTTATAATTCTTTTCTCATATCTATGCAGTAGGTGCAGGAGAAGGATTTCACTCTTGATTTTAATTGGATTTTTCTTCTCAACATGCACTGGAAGAGTTTGTGAAGTTAATTAATGACATTGGTTCACAGTTTATGAAAAATTTGCAGGGACTTGGAAAAACTACATTATAGAATCCAGCTGGTTTTGGTTTTCTTCCTTAAATTTGTGTCTCAGAAGCCTGAGATTTTCTCCTAACATGAAAAAGATAACAAAAATTGCATGCTTATATTAAAAAAATGGAAATTTTGAGTCCTTGAATGTACGTTTACTAGCACGATTGGAATGCAATGGGAACACAGAGACTTTTATAGATGGAATATTTGGACTCTGCTCTCTACGTGCTGAAGTGTCACAAAACTCTGGAAGAAGATCAGGTTTTTGCGTTGCCTTCTCCTGCTGCTGAGCACGCAGCGAGCTATGTAAATCCCCCTCCATCATAATGAAAATATACCTTGTGGTGCTTTCTGCATACAACTGCAGAAACACTTGAAATAATCCTTTAAAAATACCATACAAAAAAATAACTATAAGCTTTGATTTATTTCAATGCAGAAATCACATAGATCTTGAACATCAGCAATAATGTTGAGCCATCTTCAGCTTTTATAATTCAACTGTCTGCCCTTCATTTTTACTCAGCACTCCTTTCCCCTCATCCCACTCAGACACAACAGCTATGTGGACAAAAAAACCACACCACACTGTTCACTTTAACCAAAAATAAATTTAGAAGAAAATCTGCAAAGGTACCAAGTGAGACGTACCTGCATGGGCCGCCTGTACTTCCTGCACGCCGTGACATGAGCGATAACACTTGCATGAGTCTCTTTGCTGACATTAATTCCATTCACTTTGATTATGCATTGGCCAGGGTGGAGACCTGCTGCAGCTGCCACCGTTCCTATTAAAAAACCCAGCACAGTTAACAGACTTCTTTTCCCAAACATCTCCTTTAAAGTTTACAGTCCAAAAGTCTAATTTTTTAATCGGAGTCTGCTTTCACCAATTCTTATGTACTTCCCTTGACCACAGGGTGCTTCTGCAGTCAGCTGGACTCCAATAAAATGGAGCTCCCCAGCAGATCACTCCACAAAAAGAGACCAGACTATTTTCTAAAGGCTATTTTATAAAACAAATGCTGATTAGTAATACGAAAATGAAAATTTATCTTAAAGAAAACGATTTTTTTAAAAAAAGGCTTTAGCTTGAAACTCACTAATTATAACTTAGACCACTGTTATTCTTAATTCTTTATGTACTGCAAGTTTATGAGCTTCTGGACTACCTCAGGTGTCTCTATTTTACATAGAAAACAAAAGCTTTCTGACAACACATGCAGAAGTATCAGAGCTTATTAGAGTTTCTTGTTAAATATTAAGTGAAATATCCAAATCCAAACACAATTCCAAGGATCTTGCTTTTATTTTAATCTTTTTACCAACTCCATTATAACAGAGTGCTTTACGGCTTTAATCAAAATACCCGAAGATAATCAAGTAGAAGATCTCAAATATAATTATTTTGGGGGGGAAAAAACAAACCAAAATATTCCCTTTGAGCAACATATTTGATTCAGTGATTTATTTTCACAAGGGAAAAACCATCTTGAGAAAATCTTCTATCCACTGAACAGGTACTACAAAAATAGCAGCTGTCTCCAGGTCTTTTCAGTGCAACTCGAACCAACTGCTGAAAGACAATCTGCTGGAGTATGACCTCAGTGCCAGCTACCTGAATGTTCCCCTCCTTATATCTCTCTTGATACTGCCACAAAGATGCCATGGAAGTCAAAATCTATTGCCTAGAGACTGCAAGGCTGAGGTGCAGAAGCTAGCTGCTATGAAAGAAAAGGCTAGACTGAATCTGCAGGGATGGCAAATAGAAAACTTATGTCATGACTTGTCAGCTGAGCATATTTGACAAGGAAATAACTTAAAGAATATACCTGTATTTCCCTCATTTTAGGAAATATCAGGTTAGATGATAGCTGCATTTTAAATCTAGTATCAAAGACAGTCTTTGGAATAAAAAAAAAAAAAACAAAAAAAAACACATTTAAAAAGGCTTTATTAAATCTTTAAAAAAAACAAAATTCTCCTCAAAAAACCCAAGGTCCCAATTCAGCAAAGTATTTAAGCATATGCTTAAAATCTTTCAGGTTTGCTAAACTACACAAGCAAGCACTTACATACTGTTGAGGCTAATTGGAATAAAGTATGTGCCTAATGAATAAGGATAGGCAGCTGAATTGAGATTCAGGTGCAGAAATAATTATCACATCAGCTCAACAGTCTGTAGTTTATTACACTTTCTCCTGAAAATCTAATTTCTGGCACCACGGCCTAGGAAAAAAGTCATCAAGCTCTGTTCAAATCTGGCTGCTTTGCAGATCAGTCCACTTCAAATTCCTTGTGACAAAGGGAGGAGGGGGGAAAAGGACACCACTGCCCCACAATGGCTGAAAACACAGTGTTAGCTGGCTCTAGCATATACAACATGCAACAGCAACAAAGAATGATTCAACAACTTCTATTGCCAGTGCACCAGTCAAGAACATACCGAGTTAGAGATGGCAAGCATTTGACAAGCGCATCACAAAATGAACAAAGTGGTATTTAGAGGAAACTTGCAATTACTAAGACAGACTAGGTTACTACTACCCTTGAAAAGATGTGTGAAAAGAGCATTTTTTGTAAAATATTTTCACAACATTGCAGAACCACATGGCCACCTAACAAATCAACGCTCAGGAGGTGAGTGGTTCCCAACACCCACTCACTGGAGAAGGTGATTTTGCATTCATCAGTGATTCCTCATTCTGTAAAGAATGCATGGCCTTAACTTCACTTTCCTACATTCGTATAAATAGATTAAAAAAAACCAACCAGAAAATCTATCCAAAGCTTACACACTATAAAAACACAAAATAATCTTATTTGGTTTTATTTAATAGTGTTTGTTACTTGGGGAGAGGGGGGAGAGATCTAAGCTGAATCACTGGACCTAATTTTGATTTATCTCAGCCACATCAGTTAGATATCAAATGTATATTTACCCCTACCATTGACAACTCTTACAGCTTACCTCTCCCAACAGCATGAACAACTGATGGGCCAAAGCCCCGGATTTGGAATCCGAGTCCATCTGCAGAGTCAGGAATCTTCACTGTCCTGATACAAGAAAAGATTCAGTACAAATGCAGCAAAAGGTAGCATTTTGTTATTCAAGACTGAAGTGGACAGCAGTAAGGCGGTTACAAGAGTGTAAGAGTGCACACTTTCATTCAGTTCACAGTTGCAGATTCATTACTATTCATATTCCAAATACTTCGCACCACTGACATCAGAAATAAGAGCAAGCTGAGATACCGAAACCTATCAGAGGCAGGCAATACTATTTTGCAGGGAAATTCAATATGCTGATTATGACCAAAGCACCACCATAGCTTTAAAATTCCTCCCAAAGGGACTGCAATTTGGGTAAATTGCCATAGCACAGCAACACCAAAAGCCCTGGGAAGGCAGGCAGTCTCTCAGCCAAGAGGACAAAGCCTGGGGACCACAGATCACGGCAGGCCTTGTCAGATGAGCTGCAGAAGACTGTGGAGACTAGGTCTGTACTACAGTGTGTTAACAGCAAAGTGTCTACTTGGTGAGTTTTACTGAAAAAATATTTTGTTGCAGTTTTTCTAAGCAGCTATGCAAAGTACAAAATTTTGTAAAGCAATAATCACCTACTACTGTTCGTGTAACTTCTAAGCACATTGTGCTATGCTCCCACTTGGTCTAAGTGCAACTGTAATAAACCTATTGGCAAACATAACCAACAAAAACACAGTTCTGAGAACGAAAATTCACATCTACTCCTCAAAATGAAACCCTGAGCTTGCCCAAAGCAAGCTAGCATATCTACATATCATCAGCTCAGGGTTCCAAAAAAGCAAAACAGCTGCATTAGTCCTTATCAGAGCTAGTTAGGTCATGCATAACAGGGCACTGATTTGACTTTGCAGCCTCTGCTTCCAGAGACAGTTTTGTTATTATTTAAGGGATCTTTGCCCCAAGCTCCATTTGCCAGGGTAAAAGCAGACAAATTCAAAGTGATGCTGAGAAGTTATTTTAAAATACATTTGGTCTGTAATAAAATTGATTTACAGGTAGTTTTGAATAATATCATTGCACCATTTCTTGCACTTTCATTTTTTTCTGGTATACATAATGTTTAGCATTTGGAGAAGATTATCAGCAGAGGTGAGACCCAAAACCCATTCAAGTCTATAAATTTTTGAAAAAATATTATTCTTGAAATAATAAATTTTCATTTGAAATACTTTCGTAAGTATAGCATCACTTAGTATACTTATATGTTAACTAAAGTTGATACAATCTACATATTTTCATTCTGGAAATGTTTGTGAACATGCTAATGAGCTGTGAAAGACTGTCACTGGCAGTTCAGGCTAAGAATTTAGGACAGAACTGTCTCTTCTGACAACAAGGTTGTGCTACCAGCAGCTCCTGACAAAAAGCAGGCAGCACTGAGAAACAAATTCTTCACCTTGTCTGAACTCCTCATTCACTAGATCATCTCCGTCAACATTGACATTCACCCACATTTTCACTGGCAAGTTGTGTCAGAAATTAAACCGAGACCTACATTTAAGAAAGGCCAAGATATGCCTTTCATGTTTGCTACAACACTAACATCTACTGGTTTGGGGATTTTTTTGTTGTTTTTGTTTGTGTGTTTGGGGTTTTTTTTGGAGATAATCATCTTTATGCCATATTTCTCTTTGCTCTTTTCCCCTTTCTGGGTGCCATTGTATTTCTCAAGACACCTTTGTGAATTAACAAGAGAAATATGTCTCACTGTACCACTGACCCAAAGCCATTTCCAAGGCACTCTGTGTGTGTGATCCGGTAGCAGAGGATGGTTCCTCCTGACTCTAAAAAATCTGATCAAAATTACTCCTGACTACTTTTTCTTACTCTCCTCTTTTTTCGGTATGTATAAACTAGTAATAACTCCATTAACTTTATTAATAGACCTATGCTAATTTACATATTTACTGAACCCAGCCATTAGGCCTCACTTTGTATTTCTTTTAAGTAACAAAAATTGCATTCAGGTGGGAATGGTCAAAACTGCGTACAGAAATGCAACTGTTACATAAAGATGGGGAGCTGTTTACTTGCTCCTGGCGTTTACACAACCAGCACACACGCTAGTTACACAACCATTACACCACAGAGTCCCACTTCTGCCAAACCAGCAACTAATCCCCAGACAGAGGAACTTGTTTAACAAACATGGTGAGAGATAAGTGATCAAAACTGCCCATATAGTCAGGGAAATTTGTGGTTCCTGCACACATTTCAAGTGGCAGAGCTGATGCTCTGAAGCACGTGTGCTTTGCTTCCGCTGACTGACAAATGTAATAAAACAAAATCAAAGCAGATCAAATCGCTTGGCTTTACAAAGTCAGATTAGACACAGCATTTAAAATAACTTTACAGTAGTGCTGTCTGAAGTTCCAGCGGTCCTAAAATTCACTGCAATTGTCGTTTGTAAAAAATTCTCCCAAAGGAATGACAACTTACTCCCGTGGTTTAGTGCTCACAAGAACCCGCAGGGGCTTTCTGCTGTTTAAACATGCTTTTAAGAAACAATCCACTTCACTGAAGGGTCGCAGAAAAACCAGGTCACCGTTAATGGCAAAGATTTTTTTCCCAACTTCCAAGCCTGCCATCTAGAAAACAATAACAGTTGTGTATATGTTTGCCTTTTATAACCACTAACATTATTTTCTTCTGCTGGCATGCAACCCCAATACAAACAATGACATGCACATTTCCTTTGCATTCTTTATGCCTGCTGCACATACCACACACAAAAGACTTACACCACAAAATGCTTCTAGAACTGGTTAAATTGATGTGAAGGGTACAGTAAGCACTCATTCTGAAGAGACCTAAATACAAGAGCTAGTCTTAATCAAGATACTATGACAGTATTATAATATCAGATAACATTTGTAATAATTAACACAACAGCTTTCATTGAGCCAGGTTTTTTTTAATGACATTACCTAATTTGTTCATCCACCATTCTCCAGAGGAACTAAAGCTTCTTTTCATAAGGAAAGACCTGATTAATATTTCAGTAAGTGAGTATTTATTAAGTTCCAAAACAAAACAATATCCTTAAATGCTTCATGGCCTTTGAGCCAAAGGTATGGCAAGCCCAACTGCACACAGCTTTTAAACTCTGGTCTAACAAGAAAGAAACTGTAACCCGCTGGATGGCAGGAGGACACAGAGTGGCACTGGGCGAGCCTTGGCACCATCTGAGATCACGGCAGAACCTGACTGCTAGATATCACCCTGCATATAGCTCTGTGGCTGTGTTATATTATTGGTTTGCTGTATCTATTTTTATCTTAAATTTCTATTCTACCACGAGATTTAGAAAGGCTTGAAATCTAGGTCTAAACTTTTTCTCTCGTAGAAGAGACTCGTTCTCTACCTTTACATGTATAGAGACTCCCATGCAGTTCAGTAGAATATTAATTTACCCAAAGAGCATCTAAAGCAGTACTAACAAACAGAAAGGGTGTAATTTATTCATTTGGATTCTCAAATTCTAGACTTCATCCAAAGCTCGATACATCCTTTATTATGAAATATATCAAGTGCAACTCACAGGCTAGCTTTATAAAAATAAAATGGTAACTTATAAAGGCTCAATATAACAATTTACCTGAGCAGAAATGAGGGTTGATAATGGTCAGAGCAATAGTTTAAACAAAAAACCAAGACCAAAGAAAACAAGATTCATAACCACAGCGCTCTCAGAAAGTTGTCATTGTTACCTTCTACTACTACAGATTTTCCTCGCTGATGTATAAAACATACACCTGTGATCAAGAGAATGAAACTGGGAAGATAATTTATAATACTTGATACCTCAGCATTTGATCCTTTCTCCACCACTTTAATAATTGGCACTTTATTTTTATCTTCTAAACCAAACCCGTAAGTGCATTCATTAGATTTAATCTGAAAAAATAAAATTGTTCAAAATATTGTTCAGAAAGGCATTAAGAAGAATGCAAGCATATCACAATTAAATAACATACAGTGCTACTACGTTGTCGCTACAATCAATTTTTTTAATTCAAAGCATACAATCATTGAGTTTCACTCACCAGCAATGACTTGGCTATGACATTTTCAACTACTTTCAGATCATGTTTCATGAGTCTGTGCTTCATATTTGACCCTTCCATTTCTTCATCCGCATAAAAACGGAACAGCAGTGGTTCATCTTTAAATTCGCTTTTCTCTAACACTGTATGATACAAAAGTACATCCATTCACCCTCTTTTTCTTTTGAACTTTTGAATACCATGTCTTTCATGAACCATAAAATACTGAACATGCATACACATGTTAAATGCTAGCAAACTATTTTTCTGTGTGAATCTAGGGAAATCTTAATTTTTAACATAAACAACAGTTTTTATTAGAATCCATTACAGATAGGTATCACTAAGCTTATTTTCAACGACAACATCTGGATTCCACCAAGCTGAGGAAGACACATTAGCCTGAAATGGTTTTAGTGAAAATGTCAAGCACAAAGTTTTTTCCTAAAAAGGATTTTAAAACATTTTTTGAAAAGTTCTGCTGCACAGCTGCTGGAGATGCTCGCCACCAAGTTCTGGCACTCTCCAGGTGGTGAAGTATGCCAGGTTGAGTATCAGAAATGGGTATGGTGGGGATGTGGATGCAACAAGAACAGCAGATGAATGAAGTCTGTACATTCAAAAGTCAAAGGAAACAGAATGAACAGTGCCAGAGAGGAAATTAATTCTCCCTCCTTCTCTAAACAAGCTGATGAGAAAATCATTTCTTCCTCCTTTTATTTCAGTAAATGATCCACTGCTTCAATCCTTTCACTGAAATCTTCCCTCTGATGGAGTTAAACATGACCTTGTTCACCTTGGTTTCGGCACTGCACATATCTCTGCTTTCCTCTCCCTTCCTTCTTTGTTCTCCACTGTCCTTATGATTTTCTCATTTTTCTACAGTCCAGTTTCTCCTACTGTCACCACTTCATGCTTTTTGAATGATGCTTCTCCATACTTTATTACTTCCACCCAAAAATGTCTCCTTTCTTTCCTACATATTTCCTGTTTTTATTGTCTCATCTGTGCAAACATGTATTGCCTGCTTAAGAAATTTCTTTCAAAGTGGCTAATAAAACAGCCCCCTCCAAATACTCCAGAAGATGAAGCCCTCAGTGCATGCTATAAAATTGACTGAAAATAATTTTCAGAGTATACAATAGCAACTTTTTTTTCTTGAAGATTGTAGCACAGGTTTCTCCAGTGATACAATGAAATAACTTCCCATCCCTTCTGTAATATCTTTACCAGCCCCTGCGTTTCCTTCCTACTATGCAGATAGCATTAAACAAAAGGAAAGCATAGCTTGTACAGAATGCCTTTACTTACCATGGTGCATAAACCCATTATCACAAAGAGCTACACCGAATATCATAGCTTCTTCCCTCGTCCGGCAATCCCCCTGTAAACCATAACATAAACCACAGTACATTTTTTTTAATTTATTTTAATGTAGCAGCAAAATGGATTCTGTGCACAACAGCATAACCTCGCAGGCCCAGCAATGGTTGTAGATTATATTTACCACTGCCATCTTTACATACACATTTACAGCATACATATAAAACAGTATATACATGTATGTATGCTACACCTCTTTATAGTCACAAATAAATATGTAAACATTTTAGTAACACTGCATTCTCCACAACTACTAAACATAATAGAATCTAAAAGTATCAAAGTTTCGAACTTTTATTTTATAAAACTGGTGCATGTTGATTGAGTGAGCAGGATACAGTGTTCTTGTTCCTAGCTCACTTAAAATAAAACAACTGATAACAGCAAATTAGTACTGACTTTTATCCATCTGGTTTGTAATTTATAGTTTTCAGAGCCCATCCATTTCATTTTAAGTCATGAACAATGTTACATGCTGAATCACAAAGCTAAGTCTCATTAAAACATTTAAAGTTCAACTGGAAATGAAGATAAGCACAAAAGGGACGAACAGCATGGCTGCTGACAGCTGATTTCTGTTACTTTACTAGTTTAAGAGGATTACATTTACACACGCTGTTCTAATAACCCTTACACAAAGTGTTTGCATGTTATTCTACTTAACACATCACTACCTTTCAAACTGGAATTTAAATGCAAAGAGTACATAAATCCAAAGGTGTATACTTGCCTGGGCAATCAACCAGTCTATGAGTTTGTTAGCCATGACTACAGATTTGTAGGTTCTCAGATGATAATCTTTATCCCTGTTGAAAACAAAACAAAACAAAATTTAAAAATCAAACAAAAACTCCAGAGAGCCTAACGGAAAAAACTTTTCTCTTATAAACAAGTTGTGACAAGCATGAATTAAGCATTTTGTAATGGTTCAGAAGTTCCCTCCAGAGAAAAGCAAGTCAAACCTTTCAGTGTAGATAGAAAGGAGGAGGCTGACCATATCTTACTTGGGCGATAACGTCACCAGCTCATAAAGGCAGTTGTCTCGTTACAGCTGAGACTCTCCAAACGAGGTAATGGAGTGTTAGTAAAGAAGTATATTAACATATACAGTAAGCATCTAAGCATACCCATCAGGACCTAGAAGGCTCTAAAAAGTCCGTAAAAAAAGATCATATTGAACGGAGTTTGCACTCATTTAATAATTCAGTTACACTTTTTCTCTTGATAGCCCTTCAATCTTCTTCAATTACTCCCAACAGACCAATCTTGAATGGACAGGTTAGGTTCCTACATTCAAACACAGTATCTTGAGATTATATACTTCCAAATGACTCTCTATGGATTTCCCAATTGGACTCACCTAATTACTGGGGTAAACAGACTGTGAAGGCGACAGTACAGTCGTACACCCTGTTAAAGAGAAAGATGAGGTTAGCTAACCACACATTCACACCACAGAGATCAGAAGAGAAATGGATGCAGTAAGGAAGCCTGTATGTTCTAAACGCACTTCTTTTCGCTATTAGAAAAGTCTGTTCGAATTTCTACATACCTTCATGTGCCAAACCTCCAAATTTGCAGATAACAATACTGATGAATAAGTTATAAGAAATAAAACATTTCTAATCTAAGCTTCACTGAGACACATGTAAAAAGGATTAGCTTTAAGGCAGCATTAAAAAATTCTGAAGGTATAGTACTTTGAAAGAAAGATACACAAAACCCAAAAGAAAAAGCAATGTTCCCATGCATTAAGGTTTTCCCCAATCACTGCTTGGTATTTTATACACAGAGTGAGTAATTAAAGAAAAAAACACCACATTTAATATATGCATAGGTACCTTATGTACAAATTGAAATTATAACTAACCAGTAAACTTTAAACAAAACAAAAGGCAAAAAGATTCAAAGGTTTGAAATGTTATCAATTAGAAACAATGACACAAATCATTTGGAAGAGTTTAAAAAACTGCCATGAGAAAAAGCTCTTTAAAAGAAGAAATCACATTAGTACTCCTTAGCAGACTATCAAAAAACAATTATGTTTATAACATGCAAGAAGAACCATGTATAACAATTAAAACTGGTGTCAAATTAGATTCCATCCTACTTTGCTGTGCCTGGTAGTTCAGTATCGAAGATTTTTCTAGATATACCTTACATCAACAAATGCCAGCAGAAAAGTGAATGACACCGTAACATAACACCTAAATGCTGACATTTTGTACTACCTCAAAATCATTAGAATTTTGAATATTAATGAGTTTAAAGGCAACTTTCTTCAATGATTTTATTATGCTCAGTAGTGTAGATGGATAGCACTACCTATCTGTGTTTAAACATCTACGTGACTGCAGGTTTAGTGCCTTAAGGCACTAGTAGACGACACTCAGATATGAGAGAAAACAATTTTCAATGTAAAGCTTCATATCTATTAAAATGGACTGAAAAAATACAATAGACTGAAATATCAGCTTCATAATCACCCAGAAACACAGACAATGCATCCTGCATATGAAACCATTAAATAACAAAAATAACTAAGAAATAACAAACTTTAATTTTGTATTTAAAATGTGTAACAACAAGCAAAAAATCTTCCCTTACAAGTGGAAAACTGAATTTGATTCACATAAATATGAGGTGGTGTTACTTATCCTAGCATAACAATTTACATTATTTTTCAAGCAGAATCTCCATTTCTGATGTGTTCTTCCTAATAATAGCAACTACTCTATGCTGTACCTTAGAGATCACATCCTGCATCTCATTTCTGGGGTAGTATGTTCCATCGTCATATCGGAATCTGTACAGCATGTGTTCAGGTTTGAACTGGTGCTTATCTGTAACTAAATTTAAAAAAAAAATAATCATGTATTGTTAGGTGACTTTCAGAAGCAATCAACAAGAGAGAAAAGGGCTAACATAATTTCTTCTAATAGCAGCCCATTACACAGCAATAGGTAGATTTCAGACAGGGAGGGCAGGAAGCCCAGTTAGATCATCTGCCCTAAGTTCCTTTATGTCATTGGTGACAATATTTCTCACAACATTTAAGTAGCCCACAAGAAACCAAACAATTTCAAGTCACAGGGCAAAGAATAAGAAAGACAAACAGGCAGGGAATGGCCTGAAAAATTAGGCATTCAAATCTGTTTTAGTCTTCAGCACTTTTGCAAAGCTCATCGACCAAACAGCCAAATAAAGCTTCTTTTGCAACTATTCATATTATTGTTCCACATTACTCTCTGTTAACTCTCGCTGAGGCCAATGTCAGATGAGTTAATAAAGATACAAACCCTTTTCAACACATCTGACCAGTCTTGCACTGGGGAGGAAAGGGAGAGGGAATGTCTTCCTCTATACATAGCCAGCTGAAGGTCTGAAGAGCAAGAGACTTGCGAACATTACGAAGGTGTTGATAATCTGTTTCCCCAAAGACCGACGAAAAAGGATCTTAACAAGTGATCTTCATGTGATTCCAGCAACAAACCTCACAATGTGTTTGTCAAAACAGTATACCATATGATACAAAATTTCTCCTGGAAACGGTACTAGAGGAAGTCTTTCTGAAAAACGTATGATTCATTTGATGGCTGAGGACAGCAGGATAACTGTCTGGTATTAATTACTGTTTTGCTTGCAGATGTAAGCTTTAGTTTTAAAGCTAAATTTGCATGTCATCAGCTGATAAAGGAGGCTACTGTAATGTCTTCATTAATCAGAGCAACAAACCTGACAGTGTTAGGTAATTCTTCTGTGCATGCCTTCCTATACCAAGTGATTAAACCATCATCCATTATTCTCTTCAAAAAAAATTAGTTAGGCACCATAAACTTTGTATAGTAAGGTGCCTTCTGTCTGCATCATTTTTCACGCTCCTTCAAGCTCTTCAGTACCACCACACATCATCTGATACATGGGCATAACAACTGGACTTCATATATTAAGTGGTTTCATGAGTGTCATGTGCAAGAGCAGAATGACTTCTTTGTCTGTATTTGATATATCTGCTAGCAGTAAAGCCCAGGACACTATTCCAATTGCCTTGAACCGACAGTTCACGCCACAGTCATTATCCAAAATAACCCCTAAGTTCCTTTATGTATCATTGCTTCTCAACATATCAGACTACAAAATTTTCACATACAATGCCTAGTATAAGAATCTAAATGAATTTTAACGGATTGTGACCATTCAACTCAGGAAAAGACATTTATTTCTGCAATTTAAAATAATTTCCTACTGTTGAAGAAAAAAAATATTCCACTAGATCAACATATATTAACAGTTTTTAAAACCAGCATCTATAGAAAACAGAAGAACCACCACCAGGACAGTATTGCTTAAGGCCAAATTGTTCCTCACCGTTACAGAGATGTGCCGGGAGGGAACCATGACTACAAAGCACCTTTCCAACCCTGCAAGCCCACGAGCAGGCTCTGCTCTCTGAGGCATGCAAGCACCACTCCACTCTGTCTTTGCAGCCCCTACTTACAGACAGTGCACCAGAAACTAAGGCAGTAGGTCCACAGAGCTGGCACCTGCTGAGCTCTGGAAAGCAAGCATGCTTCCAACTACAGTATTGTGTACAATACCACATATATCCAGGGAATGCTGTGTGGGAAGCTGTAAATCGCTATTCATTTTTTGTGGTTTTGTTTTCTATGATAAAGATGTGATTTGGCTTGTTCCACTCAAGAGGAAGGGTAGATGATCTAACAGCTACTGTGCTAACATGGAAACCTTTAAAAAAATTACAAAAACATTTTGCTTACTGTATATCTTTTATTTTAACTAGGATCAGCTATACATTTGCAAGGCCATAGTTTCAAACACTTAAAGCTGATAAAACACATCATTACCTCTAAATAATACATCATTATACCACTGGCTAATAGAAGTCATTTCAAATATTAAAGCATGCCACCAGGAGGTTTTAGAATAGCAATATACAGGGTTTTTTTCTTTTGCAAAACTGGGGGGCGAGAAAGTAAAAAAAAAAAACACAAAACAAAACCGAGGGAAAACCGTAACTCTTCTACTTTCGAGACTTCACACACCAGGAAGTAAAACAACGCCCATCACAACATGGGTCTGGCATTGCTAGAATGAAGCCCAGCACAGTGAAAACAATGGCCAGCACAGTGAATATACGAAGTCTAACAAAGCCCTCTATAGCATTTGCAATGAGAGTAACAGCCAAACTTTCTTTCTCCCTTGCTCCCTCTGTGAAAACAGATGGTTCATTCAACTTTATTTTAAGAATTCTATTTTCACTGAACCACAGCTGGATCCGCTATTCAAAGTAGCATGTCTGGCTCACATTTCTATGCTCTGATATAATTACCCTTTTATCTCCTGAAATTACACAATATTCATTTAACTCTGTATTGAGAAAGTCTATGAGTGTATTTGGGATATAAATTACAAGATCAGGAGAAGAATCTTTGGCAACAGAATCATTCCATTGAAAACAATTCTGTGTGTGTAGTAAACATAATAGCATCTGACATTTGAATGATGGTGGAGGAAAATCATGTAGACTGACATTAAAGAATTAAAGACTACATGACTACTGATGAATAACCTTAATGTTTTTCCTCCTACTCTGCATATGTTTAAAATGCACACAGCTAAGTGACACTTTGTTACTCCCACTTTCTCTCCAGTCAAGGACACTGAAAACATCGTGGCAAAGAACTTACAAAGTAAGTATTAAATTCACTGCTGTCTGAAGTACAGAAGTATTAAAATGTGTATTAGCAATGACTCCCTCTAAATTTACATCCTGATTCTACGCTGGAACATCAGCTAACTTCACAACTGTTTCATTATTTGTGTCTTTTTAAGTGACTACCTATTGCAAGCCAAACATGCCTGCATACCCAGAAATTTCTCCAATTTGCATATATGGTCCTGTTGGAATATACTTGTAAAAGTGACAGAGATGAATACCCGCTCTGGTAAGAGAAAAATGTTGTCAGTGCAAATTACCTCCAGAAGTCAAACCTCAAAAACAACCTTTTCAGTGATACGTATCTCCAGAATAAGCTAAATGCAGACAGCTGACTGAAAGTTTCACCATAGAAATATCAATTTTAGTAACTATACTGTGTAACTATACTTCAATATAGTAACTATACTTTAATGTAGTAAAAGTAATGCCTTAAAATTCAAAAGATTAAACTGTTGCGTTCTACGTTGGATTCCACCAGCTCCACTTGTCTTTTCTAACAGACAAGCAGGCAAATTTATCAACAGCCAGCTGTGACTCACTCACTTCTACAATTCTTAGTTGAACATGTAACCGTAAAAAGCCTGGCCCTTATAAAAGGTTTAAATCCTTAAAAGCAGTCTACCGTTCTCTGTTCCCCCAGAATTTATTTTTGCTTACAAGAGAACAGCAATGTTTCTCTAGGTGCCTGTTTGCAATGTTGTGATCCCAACAGCATGGATGTAAACCGATTAAATCAATGGAGCCTCTCCCAGGAAATCTGCTAGGCGAGGACAATGGCCCCATGAGGTCCCTGCAAGGATATAATGCAGATTCAACAAGCTGTCTTGCCTTAACAAAACCATCTTTTTATCAAACAAAATTAAGTCCACTCTAATTATAACAATCACCTTGAAAACAAATAAGTTAAAGCTAATTATATTTACCATGATGGATAATGCCATTCTCTAGTAAAGCTTGACCAAGATGAACACCTTCTTCAGATTTGTGTATCTCTCCAATTTCCAGCAACCAGGACACAAATTCACTGAATTAAAAACAGATACAAAAAAGAAACTTTAAACATCATACCACCACACCTACTACATTTCCCTCTCAGTTACTAGTGTTTCTCGTCAGCCTAGTAAATGATTCTTAGCCTAATGATCTTCAGAATGCCATACCACCTTTAAAAAACACACTCGTTTCAACTTTTTCATTATTTCGACATAAATACATATGGTTTCCCTTGAGATGTCTTGCCTTTTCTGTTTAGAAGTTTTACCTTTGCACATGGTGCACCATTAGCAAGTTTGCTGATGATACCCAACTGGAAGGTGGTGACGACTCTTGAGGGACAAGATGCCTTGCAGAGGGATCTAGGTAGATTGGAGCATCGGGCAGTGATTAATGGGATGAAATTTAACAAGTTCAAATGCCGGATTCTACACTTAAGACAGAGTGATGCTGGGCACAAGTATAAATGGGGAGAGGAGTGCCTGAAGCGCAGCCCTGCAGAAAGGGATCTGGGGGTGCTGGCCGACAGCAGACTCAGTAGGAGTCGGCAGCAAGTCCTAGCAGCCAAGAGGGCAAACCCCATCCTAGGGCGCATCAAACACAGCATGACCAGCTGGTGACAAGAGGTGGTTATCCCGCTGTATTCAGCCTTGGTGTGGCCTCACCTGGAGTACTGTGTGCAGTTCTGGGCCCCACAGTTAAACAAGGATGTGAAGGTCCTTGAACATGTCCAGAGGAGGGCAACAGAGCTGGTGAAAGGGCTGGAAGGCATGTCCTGTGAGGAACAGCTAAGGACTGGGTGTCTCTATTTTGGAGAAAAGCAGGCTGAGCAGTGATCTCATTGCTCTCCACAGCTCCCTGAGGAGGGGAGGCGGAGCAGCAGGTGCCGATCTCTTCTTTGTGGTATACAGTGACAGGACGTGTGGGAATGGTTCGAAGTTGTGCCGGGGAGGTTTAAACTGGACATTAGGAAGCACTGGTTTACCGAAAGGGCAGTCAAACTCTGGAACAGGCATGCTAGAGAGGCGGTCGATGCCCCAAACCTGTCAGTGTTTAAGAAGCATTTGGACAATGCCTTTAACAACACGCTTTAACTTCTGGTCAGCCCTGAAGTCGTCAGGCAGCTGGACAAGATGATTGTTGTAGGTCCCTTCCAACTGAAAAAGGCTATTCTGTTCCCATGCTTCCTGGGATTTCCTGAAGTAGAATAGCCACATGTGATCAGACTGTCAAATACAACGCAACCCCGGGCATATCTACTGCACCTGCCCAGCGCAGAAATACCACGAAGGCAAAACATAATCACAGTATGATAGAACAGTAGGCCTGTGACTGCTGACACGTCAGACACATGGACATGCTCAGCATATACACAGAGTATATAGAGCACATGCAGGAAATACCTGGCATATTTCAAGATAAACACGATGCAATTCAGAGACATGAAATTTATAGCACATGAGATATTTGTATGTGCGTTACAAATCAAATGAACCGTGTAGTGAGGTAGCGCAACATTCACATTCATGGGCTTTAACTGTTGACCCAGGGACCAGAAAAACTGTTCTTCAAAAGGGTCCACTTCAAAGGTAGCACAGAAAAGCAGCCTTTCAACAGTAGGTTGAAACGTTTCACACATGGCTCGTCACCATGCGTATACTCTTTACCCGCTTCCAACAACTTCACTGAGGGTTTCAATTCTCACCAGATATGTGAGACAGCACATAAAAATCTCCCAAGTTTCACTTCCACATTCGAACCTAGCCATGAGTATCGTCACCATAATGTCTTTGCGTGAAACAGTCACTGTACTTTATAAAAATACTTTCCATACTTAACTGTCTTACGGCCAAATGAAATAAGTAATAACCCCTCTGTCGCCCAAACTATTTTGTCCCACACACATTTTTAGGGTACCTATTGCTTTCTCCTCCTCTTGCATTTAGTCTCCTTAAGCCACAGGTATAGTACAACATTCTAAAGATTCTCCTGAAAATAGAGGTAAATTTTTCAACATGTAAACTGCATTTTGTAACTCTGTACCTGACATTCAGACAAGAGAAGGATGGAAACAGTTTGAGACACAGATTTTTTTAAGTGGAACAAAGCAAATCTGATACTATAAACTAGGCATTTCATAGACAAAATGCATTAAGCAAGTCTGGAATTATTTGTTTAAAGAAAGTATTTTATTTAGTGCATTTTCATATTTTCAATATGCCTTTGCAGCTTTGTCCCTTTACAAAGCCATTTCGGAATAAGAGTACACATCCATAAATTTCAGGAAGATCAATTTCCATTTTGGCTGAATTCTGGGAGGCAAATAGGCCGAACAAACATTACAAATAAAGCATGGTTTCCGCAGAATCCCAAAGAAGGTGTAAAATGTGTTTTCAGCTCGTTAAAATTCATACTATAAAATGCGTATAATACCTTCCAAGAAAGCATTTGGGGAAAGTGGTCAATTTCTTCTTCCTGTCTTTGATGAGATTCCCTTGTTTGCACATCATTTTGTACAGTCTTTCTCCTTGCTCAGAGATCATCACCCAAGTGTCCTGTTCCATGCCCAATTTTAAACCTGCCAAAAACGAATTACAATTTTATGAAGTGATATTACCATTATATTTCAATAACTTTCCCAAAATGGAGAAGCAATAACAATATTTTACATACAAAAATAGTACAGGAATTGTTTTCCATTATTTCTCTCAGAATCAAGATTCATATATGAACACCTAATACTCATGAAGCATAATCAAATTCTATCTATAATTTCCTCAAAGTGAAATTGTTACTGATACGGGACACCTACATTGACATCATCATTGATAGTCCACTAAATACTAACGCTGTAATTTTCAAACATCAGTATACGAACATTTGCAAGGGAGTAGTCATGTCTTCATAAGTCACATGAAAAGTGCCTTAGTTTTGCTCTTACCATGTGATAATAAAAATGTTTTCATTTAAAGGAAACTTTTTCACATTTCCAATAAATAGTAACTCATCATCTGTTACACATTTGTTAGTTTCACATAAGATTAATTCATCCCTTTCCCACAAAAGCATATACACAAGTTTGGGAAGAGTACAGCAACGTGGTGAGAGCATGCAGGGATGCGATGAGGAAGGCCAAGGCCCACCTGGAATTGAAGCTGGCAAGGGATGTCAAAAACAGCAAGAAGGGCTTCTTCAACTACATCAGCAGCAAAAGGAAGTCTAGGGACAACGTGGGGCCGCTGCTGAACGAGGCGGGTGTCCTGGTGATGGAGGATGCGGAGAAGGCAGAGCTACTGAATGCCTTCTTTGCTTCAGTCTTCAGTGCTAAGACTGGCCCTCAGGAATCCCAGGCCCCGGAGGTAAGAGAAGAAGCCTACAGAGAGGATGACTTTCCCTTGGTCGAGGAGGACTGTGTGAGGGATCGCTTAAGCGATCTGGATGTCCACAAATCCATGGGCCCCGATGGAATGCACCCACGAGTGCTGAGGGAGCTGGCGGATGTCATTGCTGAGCCACTCTCCATCATCTTTGAGAGGTCCTGGAGGACAGGAGAGGTGCCCGAGGACTGGAGAAAGGCCAATGTCACTCCAATCTTCAAAAAGGGCAAGAAGGAGGACCCAGGGAACTACAGGCCACTAAGCCTCACCTCCGTCCCGGGAAAGGTGATGGAGCAGCTTATCCTGGAGGCCATCATCAAGCAAGTGGAAGAAAAGAAGGTTATCAGGAGTAGTCAGCATGGATTCACCAAGGGGAAATCATGCCTGACCAACCTGATAGCTTTCTATGATGACATGACTGGCTGGGTAGACGAAGGGAGAGCCGTGGATGTTATCTACCTTGACTTCAGCAAGGCTTTCGACACAGTCGCCCATAATATCCTCCTGGGGAAGCTGAGGAAGTGTGGGCTGGATGAGTGGTCGGTGAAGTGGATAGAGAACTGGCTGAATGGCAGAACTCAGAGGGCTGTC